TAAGAAGCAGCTGGTAGGTTTGAACCTTGTGGATAATAGCCCAAAGCATAACTCATAGCACTACTAGGGCTCCTTAAAAGTGTATTATGGACACTGAAATTTGATTTGCATATACCTTTCATAATGACATCAAATATGATTCTTTTTTATTTTCTTCAAACATTCAAGTTTGTGCAAACCAAGTCTTAGCTTGAGGGCCTTATTAAAAAACAGGCAACATGTCAGCTGTGGCTTACTGGCCATGACTTTCCAGCCCTTGCTGTGGAGAACACCCAAGTCAAGAAAGCAATATATCAATAATAATGCTGAATTTTCCTTTCTTCGGGTTTTGCCTAGTGTAACTACTGAAAGATGAAAGCATGTTCATATGAATTCAGTTTTGCACTTACTATTTCTATCATTGACCCAAAAGGACTAATTAGAATTACCCTTAGGCTTCTGGGCTGTCCGTCTTTACTGGAGCAGAGCCCCGTCTTCCTTCCATGGTGGCTGATGGGCTCAAACTGCCGGGAAGGGCCCAGGAGAGGAGGTGAGGGCTAACTAATATCAGAAGTCAGAATTTTCTTTTTTATGGACAGGGGTCACCAGCCAGTTAAGATTTTTCTCTGATTTAACTCAAAACATACCTAATATCTTAACCTGAACCTATTTAATATTTCTTTGCATATTCAGTATCTATTTCAACCCCCCCCCCAAAAGAAATATAACCACTTCTGTCTTTGTCATTCTCTGTTTGTCAGGGCATAAAAGCAATAATGTATTAATTTTTGTTACAAGTAAAGTATCTGTCATTCTATGCAACAAAAGTTTAAGGGAAAACTAACCCTAAAAGGATATGGCAGGTCACAAAACTACTTTTATAAAGCTCATTTATTTTTTCATTTGTTTATTCATTTGCTAGGAATGGGTATCCTGGTGGTGCTGTGGATTAGGTGTTGGGCTGCTAACTACAAGGAAGGCTGTTCAAACCCATCAGCTGCTGTATAGGAGAAAGGAGAGGCCGTCTGCACCTGTAAAGATCTAGTCTCAGAAGCCCTATGCCACTGGGAGTTGGAGTCGACTTGATGGCAGTGGGTTGGAAGGATGGATGGATAGTCCTTTAGGTGCCTGTTGTGTGCTAGGTGGGAACTTGGGAAGATTTAGAATCCTTGTGTTCAAGGAGCTCATACTGTAGGAAACATAAGACAAATACTTTCAGTGAGGCAATTCCGACTTATAACAACCATGTAAGACAGGCTAGAACTGCCCCTGTGGGTTTTCAGGACGGTAACTCTTCACGGGAGTAGAAAGTCTCAACTTTCTCCTAGTGTTTTTTTAGTGTTTTAGCTAGTGTTTTTTTAAGGCTGACCTGTGGTTAGCAGCCCAGCATGTAACCCACTACACGACCCGCTTCTCCTTCACACTGTAGCGGAGGAGCCAGAATGGACAAAGAGTGCCAATATAGACCAGGGTAGACTGCCTTGTAGAGCTAAGCACTGGATCTCTGGGAATAGGGAGGAGACATCCACGTAAAGCAGACTATGTGGCCCGTGTGTGGGATTCCTCCTCGAAAAAGAAACTAAATAAAATGAAAGCAAAGCTTTGAAAGATAACTTATTCTGAAATCGTTATTTTATTTTAAAACCTAGAGTCTGAAGATGACTTATCCATCCAAGTTTGAAGATCCGATAATAGTTCCTCTTCAAGAGTTTGCGTGGGATCAATATCTGCAGGAGAAAAAACGGGTAATGGATATTTGGGGCCTGGAGGATATGATCAAAGAGCAACACTTTGAATGATTTACCTTTGCGCTGATATGAGAAAATGGATGGGATCGTTTTAGTGTGACTAGATCATATTTTTTAAAACTATGTATAGTCTCTCAAGTATTTCAATCCTTTTATCAGACTGATTCTTAAAAAGAGAGAGAGAGACAGGATTTCCTTGGGGAAAGTGCGTGATAAAGGTAAGGGTGGGACTCACTCCACGCTGCTATTTATTTACCACTGTGATGGTTATAGCTCTTTGCTACTTGTCCCTCATCACTCACCTGTCACAGCCTGGCACCAAGGCTCTGTGGGCTGGCACCCTTCCTGACCCTTACTCTGGAAGTTGTTGGCGGTGTGTAACGCTGCTCTGGCAGGAGGGCTGGTGGGAACCTGTTGCCTAGGCGAACTTTCGCTACTGGGCGCCAAGATCCCACAGGGCAGCCGCCTCTTCGCTTCTTCTCCGCATTCTCCCTCTACCAGTGTCCTTGGCGAACCTCCGAACCCAGGGCGAGCAGAGCTAGTCTGGGATGGCAGATGTATTTCCTCCTGGTGCCAGCCCTGATCCAGTCGGTGGTGCTGCCTGGAGCGGGTGCAGAGGACTGCGGTGTAGCCTGGCTCAGCAGGGTCCCCGTTTGTTGGGGGTTGGTGGAGGGATCTGCCACCTGCTTGTTATCCCTGGCCTAGTCCCCTAGAGAGCCCCACCTCGGTTTCTCTGCACAACCTGGTTTCTCTGCCCAGTGGCTGACAAACTCCAATATCTGTTTACCCAGACAGTTTCAGCTGGTCTGGACTCGATTGCACAAGGATGTCCTATGATCCTGCAATTAGGTGTCCTGAGCCGCTTCCCTCTGCTGACTCATACTCCGGGTGTGAGAGGCCCAGTGGAGAATGTCTTCGCTGGTGCTCCATACGGTCAAGCCAATTCTGATTCAGGAGCCCCAGGTGTTACAGAGGAGAGCTGCTCCCTATGGTTTTGTTGTCTGGCATCTTTTTATCTCTTAAAATCTGTTTCTTTATTACTTACTGTGGTTTAGATGAAAGTTTAATATAGAGCAAATGATTTTTTTCTTGCAACCGTTTTTCTCACTTTGTTTCCTAACATGAGTTACGATTCCCCCAATGGGACCGCACGCTTCTCACTTTTTCCTGGGCTCCCGCCTCCATTTGTCCTCTGTTCTTAGCCCTTTCTGCTTTCAGAGCTTTGTTTGGGGACCACTTCCTGGCTGCCGTCTTAATGGAAGCAGATCCGCAGGCCTTTTCTTCACAGCCCTGCTGAGTGGGCTCACACCACCCACCTGTAAGTTAGCGGTTGAGTCCCCTAGGGACCTGGCAATCCAGAATGCCTTTTGTTAAGTCTTATCATTTTCAGAGCTACAGTGCATTTTCATTGAAATGCAAATAGAATAACCGCATGTGCTTATGTGCCAGGTGCTTGGGTGACAGCAAAGGTTAAGTGCTCGACTACTTGCCGACAGGTTGGTGGTTCAAATCTATTCCGAGGCACCTCAGAAGAAAGGCCTGGTGATCTGCTTCTGAAAGAGCTCAGCCTTGAAACCCCTGTGGAGCATCTCTGCTCTGGACACAGGGTCGCCGGAGCTCAGTGACCACTGCTACTGCTAGTAGATGCCAGCAACGATTTCAGTTGCACATATGTGTGTGTCTGTGTGCGTAGACATAAATATGTTTGTGTATGTGTGTTTTTGAGGCACATGCATACATGGTCATATACATATTTATGTACATTTATATTGCAATCTTTGAAACAATTAGGGTGACCAGGTCTTTGGGTGTGCCAGGGTCTGAGGAGTTTCTCAGGATGTCGGGATGTTGTTGTTGTTGTTGTTAGGTGCCATCGAGGTGGCTCCAACTCATAGCGACCCTATGCACAACAGAAAGAAACCCTGCCCGAGCTTGTGCCAGCCTCACAATTGTTTCTGTGCCTGAGCCCATCGATGCAGCCACTGTGTCAGCCCATCTCATCGAAGATATTCCTCATTTTTGCTGCTCTTCCACTTTATCAAACGTAATCACTGTGTTATACCGGCTTGACTAGAGGAAACCAATCCAGAGACACTCCTAGGTGTTTAAGCTTTATATCAAAGAGCAATTATATATTAAGAAAACATCCCAGTCCAGTCCAGATCAAGTCCTTACGTCCTATGTTAGCCATATGTCAGATATTAGTCCATAAATTACTCTTCAGACTCACACAGTGTAATAGGTAGGTTTGATGCCGAATACAGGTAGATCACAGGCCAATGGGTAGAAAGTCTTGTGGATCCAGTTACGGTGGAAGCATCTCCAGGACTCTAGCTGCCATCAATGTGGCTCCATGTGGCTTGACAACAGGATGATGTAGCAGAGAGAGTGTGGCCCCCCTCTTCTGATGGCAGAATCAAGAGAGAGAGTTCCCAGAATCCTCATGAGAAGGCCACACTCACAAGAAGGGATCATCTGGTTGTGACTTGATTGACAGTACCCGTCATTCTTTTATCACATTGACATGAAATTGTGTAACTGCCACAATGGCCTTCTCCAGGGACTGGTCTCTCCTGGCAACATGTCCAGAATACGTAAGACAAAGTCTTGCCATCCTTGCCTCCGAGAAGCACTCTGGTTTTACTTCTTCCAGTACAGATCAGCTTGGCCTTTCAGCAGTCCATGGGACTTCCACTATTCTCCTCCAGTCAGTACCTCCACTCAAATACATCTAGTCTTCTCCAGTCTTCCTTATTCAGTGTCCAATCTTCACATGCGTATGATGCCATGGAGAAGACCATGACGTGGGCCAGGAGCGCCTTAGTCCTCAAAGTGACATACTTGCTCTCCAGTACTCTAAAGATTTACCTAGAGCAATACTTCTTTTGATTTCTTGACTACTGCTTCCAGGAGTGTTCAGTGTGGATGCAAGTAAGGAAAACATCCTTGACACAACTTCAACATTTTCTCCATTTATCATGATGTTACCTACTGGTCCAGTGGTGAGGATTTTGGTCTTCCTTACATTGAGTTGTCATTCACACTGAAGGCTATAATCCTTGATGTTCATCAGCAAGTACTGCAATTCCTCCTCACTTTTAGCAAGCAAGTTTGTGTCATCTACATATGGCAGGCTGTTAATAGGCCTTCCTCCGATCTGAATTTGCACTCTTCTTCATACACTCCAGTTTCTCTGATGATTTGCTCAGCATGTAGATTGAACAAGTATGATAAGAGCCTGTAACCCTGACACACACCTTTCCTGATTTAAAACTATGCAGTATTTCCTTGTTCTGTGCACATAACTGCCTCTTGATCCACGTACAAGTTCCTCATGAGCACAATGACGTTCTGGAATCCCCATTCTTCTCAAGGTGATCCATAGTTTATTATGGTCCACACAATTGAATGCCTTTGCACAGTCAAGAAAACGCAAGTAAACATCTTTTTGCTATTCTCTGCTTTAACCAAGACCCAGCTGACATCAGCAATGATAGTCCTTGTTCACATCCTCTTAGGAATCCAGACCGAACGTCTGGCAGTTCCTGTCAGTGGTATTTCAAATGCCAGCAGGGTCACTCAAAGGGAACAGGCTTCAGCGGAGCTTCCAGACTAAGGACAGACAATGACGAGGACTGTGGAGAAGAAGCCTTTGAAAACCACTTGCATAGATTTAAAGTATTTTCAAATACCTAAAGCCTAAACAAGGGAAGCAGAACATGGTCAGAGATATTGCCAGCAGATGGGCCCGTCAGGTCTGAGGGCAGTTGAAAGGGGATTGAAGAGGAGATTTCTTGGAGGGGAAGTTGCCCATGGTGATGTGGGTCTGGTAAAGCCTGTGGGAGTGGACCCTTGGGATCTTCA